AGCTCCTTGAAAGCAGGGACTATTTGTGTGTGTGTGTGTGTGTGTGCGTGTGTGTGCATGTGTCTTCTTTGTATCCCCAGTGCCTAACACATAGTACACACTTAATAAATGCTTACTGACTTGTGTTGGGATTGGAATCAGGAAGACCTCCCTTTAAATCCTACCTCAAAAATTTACTAGCTGTGTAACTCCAAGCAAATTATTTCACCTCTACCCTCAGTTTCCCCATATGTAAGAATAGAGGGTGACACCTGATGGCCTCCAAGGTCCCTTTCAGCCCTAAAGAGATGATCCTGATTCTGTTATTCTTAATGTTACTCTTGGAAAAAAGAGCACAACCTTTTGTTTTCAGGTTCCTTTGAGAAGTTTTATTACCAAAAGACCACAAGGAGACAGGAAACATTAAAACAGCAAAAAGGAAAGTTTACACATCCTTAGAAGACTTACCAGTTGATCCTGGTCCTGGGTGTGAATATATAGGGAATTAAGCCTTAATCTTTTTAGCTCCTTCTAACTTGACTGAAATACTGCCAGCTCAAGCTCTCGATTTCTGGCAGACATAACTGGGGTCAGTCAGTCAATAAATGGATACCGTGCTAAGCGCTGGGAACATACATGTGAAAAAGATCGTCCCTGCCCCCAAGGAGCTCACAATCTAATAGAAGACAACTTACAAAAGTGAGGGGGAGATGGAGAGGGGGCAGTGATGGAGAGGTCCAGAGTACTGCAGCCTGCTGGGAAAGGATAGCAGTTCCTCAATAGGGGTTCTGAACCTGGGATCGATGGGACAGTTTTCAGGGGATCCATGAACTTGGATGGGGAAAAATTATATATTTATTCCAATACAATTGGTTCCCTTTGTGATCCTATCTATTTTATGTATTTAAAAGCATTATTCTGAAAAGGAGGCCACAGACTTCACCAGACTGCCCGAGGGGTCTATGACACAAGAAAGGTTAAGAATCCCAGTCTTAAGGTCTTTCTTATTTACAACTTTGTAATTTTTAGCAATGACTTCTAGATTCTTTCTGCTAATGCTATCTGTGCCCAAGGGGATCACTGGAAGCAGGTACTCTAGTAGCTCTCTGTTGTAATATATCTGGGATCAATATAAACACCTCCATTAGGAATTTAAAACTATTAACAGCCTGGTTCCTTCCTACTCCTTTCACCTTCTTATACATCGATCCCCTCCATGCACCTTATGGTCAATTCCTACTGGTCCCCTTGCTGTTCTCCATCTTTGTGCCCTCATCCTGCTCTCCAAGCCCAGAATACTCTGCGTCCTCACCTCTGCCTCTTGGAAACCCTGGTTTTCTTTAATACTCCACTTTTTGCAGGAACTTTCTTGGTTCCCCCTCTCATCCAAGCTTACCTGATGTCTTCTTTATGTATTGTCTATATCCATGTAAGTACCTCTCTCATATTAAAACAGAAAGACCTTGAGAGAAGGGACCGAATCTCCCTTTTGTCTATCTCCAGCATTCAGCATCATTCCTAGAACACAGAACAACAGCTGGAATGCAATAATGTAAAGAGGGCACTGAATAGGAGTTATGAGACCTGGCATCTAGAGTAAGAACACTTGTACTGGGAGTCCCAACTATGTTACTTCTTAGCTCAGTGACTGCAGGTAAATCATTTGACTTCTTATCTCTGAGGTCTGTCCCAGCTCTAGGAGTTCTCCATTTCTAAAGCCTAGGTTCTGTGGCGAGCTGCATGACAACTAAATGCATAAAGGTACAAGCTCTTAAACCTTCCATTTCCCTATTTATTTAGTGGACACAATACTTGGACTACTTGCTTCAGAACTGATGAAAGAGGAATAGTTAGCATTCATATTTTGTTTTTCAGTTGTTTCAGTCCGACTCTTTGTGATTACATATGGGATTTTCTTGGCCAAGATACTGGAAAGGTTTGCCATTTCCTTCTTCAGCACATTTGTTAGATGAGGAAATTGAGGCAAACAGGGTTAAGTGACTTGCCCAGTGTCACACAGCTAGTAGATGTCTGAGGTCAGATTTGAACTCAGGAAGATGACTTGACAAATATCTCATATGATCCTCACAACAGCCCTCAGAGGTAGGTGCTATCACTACCTCCATTTTACAAAGGAGAAAACTAAGGCCAAGAAAGGTTAAAAGACTCTGGGCTATGATGAGCCCAGATTCACACAGCTAATGAGTATGAGTCAGGACTTGAACTCAGATCTTATGGTACTCCATCTACAACACTACCTGGTTGCCAAGTATCCACATGAGTAGTTGGAAGCATGTACTGGGATATTTAAGGGAAAAGCTGATACTAATGCTGGTAGATTTAACAAGGCTGGCTGCCTTTTGTAACTTTAATTAGTTTGAATTTTTTCCAGGTAAGGCTTTAGGATATGAGAAGGATGCAACCACAATTTCTCATTCCTTGACATGAGTATGTGTATCTCTTCCCCAGTACCCTAACCAGTCCCTTATATATGTGTCTGGTATCCTATAGCTGTCCCTGGTGCCACCTCCACCTGGAAGGAACATTATTCTGCCAAAGAAAGACTGAATCTGTGCTGCATTTGAGCACTGGAATGGTGATAAACCATAGAGCTAGCATTACTTATTCAGCAAAACTACAAAAAGGGGAGGTTTTGTGTTGATAAAAAGAGTAAAGATGCAATCACTGCCTCCATGCAGTTTAGAGTCGTATTATTATTCTTTGGAGAATACTGAGTATGATCAGAGAGCTTAAAGTGAAATGCCCAAAGCACTGGGCTAGTGAGCAGAAAAGACAGGGCTAAGACCCAGGTCTCCTGACTCTCAGTCTGGTCTTGGAGGCATACAAAAGAGATGTTCAAGCACGCACCTAAACTATAAAATTACTGATACAGGCGGTACAACAGAAGCTTTCAAGGGCTGACAGGAGCCACGTATCACTGAAACAAAAATCACAGAACTAGAAAATGAAGCTAATTATTAATAAACAGAGAGGACCCAAAGAGAAAAGCCAGAGCCCACGAATTAATGGGTTAGAGTAAAAGACTTCAAAAAGTAACTGATGAATCCAAATAAGAGAATAGGTATCAAGCCGGAAGTAACCTCAGAGGTCCATTGCCTTTTATAGGCAAAGAACCTGGGGTCATATAAGCAAATATCAGAAGTAAGATTTGAACCCAGGCCCTCCAAATCCAAGAGTCACTCCTTTTCCCATTGTACCATGTTTGCTTGATGAGGGTGGAGAGGATGGAGAGAAGAGATGCAAATTTGTCTCAAAAATATAGCTTAACAGGTAATGGAAAAGACAGAAAGCTCGCTCTAAATCAGAAGTGACATCGAAGATCCCTCAGAGCTCTCAATTATTTAATCTAGATATGATCTCATCTCTCGCTCTTGACCCAGCACAGTGGTGTTCATTATTCTCCATGAGAATGAAATTTTTTTAGCATCTAACATGTCACTGATGGTAGATATGGCAACTGAATAGATTCATTACCCAAGATTCAAGACAGGTTGTATTGAAAGGGCATATATCAGGTCTCTATAAGCTGGTGTACACGGGTAAAAGGAAGGCTAACATAATATTTATAAGTAAGAAAACACTATCTGACTTTATATATAATTCCTGCTTTGATTAATGCAGAAACAGATCCATCTTAAGCAGCGCGAAACTGTGTGGAAATAGAAGGAAAGCTATTCAGAGTCCAAAGCCTAATATGTGAATTGTTACTGCATGTGCATGACCTTGGAAAAAAATCACTTAAAACTTTCACTTTTAATAAAATTACTATCTACCTCAAAAGTGCCACACAAGTTGCTGAGATGGATCAAATGAGAATAGATTATCAAGTGTTATAGAAATAAAATTGAGGATAGCTACAGTCACAGACATTTAAGGTCAGGAGGGATCTTGGAAACTCCTCATTTGGCAAATGAGAATAATGCTCTTCCCCAGCAAATGGGTCAAAGATCTGAGTTTGAATCTTGGCACTGCTATTTAGTATCTGCGTGACCTTAGGGAACTCAGTTCATTGTGCTCTGTGCCCTGGTTTGCTCATCTATAAAAGAGAGGGGTGGATGAGGTCCGGGGTTCTTAATCTGGGATCCTTGAACCTTTTTCCCCCTTATATTTTGATAACTTTTTCCATATAATCTAGTTTCCTTTGTAATTCTATGTATTTTATTCATTTAAAAATAGTATCCTGAGAACACAGGCTTCACTAAATTCTTATCTAGAGCCCCTCCCCCTCACCAAGATTCTTTCTGACTCTAAATCCTATGATCTTGTGAATTAAATGGTGTATACAGACCACAAAGTATATCCTAAATTTAAAAAAAAAAACTTATTTTATAATCATTTGTGAAGCCAAATAGTTTAGATTGAGTCCCAATTCTATTTATTATATAAAAGCATCTCTAATTGATACGACCAGTGTTTAAGACCCAACAAGAAATTAATATTGATACTGAAACGAGATTCACCAACTGCTATTGAGACATGTATTTCAGCTATACAAAATAATGCCATAATGTAATAGTCAATAATGAATTATTATGTAAAAGGGAACTAGCTCACTCTTGATTTTCTTAACATATACATGCACACAAATAACTGTGTCTTAGCCTCATGATTTTTTTCCCAATAGCAAAATACTGAAGACAGACAACCAAGTAAATAATAATAAAGCCAAATGCAAGAACACATGGAAGTCCAATACAGACACAAGAGAATAGTGAAGCATTTAAAATCTGTGATTAGTTGGATCAAATATGTACTTTCTTTGCATTCTCATTCAAGCATTTTCAGAATAAATCTTTTCAGAAAATTCCCTGCCTCCTGTATGACAATAAGTTCTCATTATGGCAGGTGTGAGTTTCTCATCAAAGCCCATTAAGTGGCTTGACAGTAATGATACAACTTGCATACATTTCACCAGTGGTTCTGATGATATACTTTCATTGATCTCCAAAAGCTGATGATTTTCACAGAATGACATAATGAATATCAAACCAAAGGTCACCTTTTCAAAGCAGTCACAGTATCTAAGTGGAAAACATGTACTGAATTCTAATATTCACAAATAAGCACTAACAAAATAGATTTTAAAAATTCGACTAAGACAAATCTTGAATGGTGCCAACTTCTTCACAACAATGTGACTGGTCAACAAAGCTAAGTATAGCTGCCGTGTTTCTGCCCCAAATCCCAGGTGAAATTGTGCTCATCTGGGGGAGAGTGTGGCTTTCACTTGGTAACAGGGAGCACCTGAAATGACATTCAAGCAGTCTATAAACCAGTTGGAAGGAGCCATCCAGACTTTGCCCTGACGAACCCTCTCTGGATGATAATTAGAGATGGCATCATAGATGATATACTGTGTGCAGAACCGCTGATCAGAGTCAGGTCTGGCATGGTATGATACTGTATTGATCGTCTGAGTCACGTCACTGTCTGGTTTTGGCTTTCTATTGAGAACCTGCCCTCCAGATGCTTTGGCCAGTTTTATAAGCTCATCCTTGGAATGATGCTTGAAAGTCCCCTCAAAATAGAAGTAACAGCCATCAAATAACTTTGGCAGCTGAAAGAAAATAAAGCGAAAATCTGTTAATGGGAAACTAACATGCCGAGAATTATGTGCTTTAGGTGAACAAGGGGAATAAAAGAAAAATTAGCATCAGCTGGGAAATCAATTGAGACAGACAATTTGTAAAAATGATAACCTAAACCACCCAACTATGGGCTGAGGTAAAATGCATGTATGGATAAGCAATCCTAATTTCTAAATTTAACCTCCAATATCTTAGTAAATTACCTAATTTATTCATTCATTCATATTTTTAAATCTTATCCATAGTTCCTTATCCTTAGGCAGGTTTTGCAAATGTTAAAAAGAAAAACAAAAAAAACACTTCCTCTCTGTTTATTGTAAATGACTGCCTGGATTGGGCATGTCTGATGGAACCTGGAGTCCCAGAACCTCTAAGCCAGTCCTTCAGATTTAGAAATGCTGATTGCAAACTATACTAGAAATGATTAGCACAGTAGACAGTAGGTAACCCTCCCCCAACATGATCAAATCTGAATATCCTTAACCCCACATTTTCCAGGGCCATACAGTCAGGTAGGGGCCTCTAGGGATGCAGAGTTACTCTTAATGGGGAGCTGAAGCAAGCAGGACTTTTAGGTTATGAGAACCAAGGCTAGGGAGAGCTTTGAGAATTCTTGGAACTCAGTAGACTGTCCAATCTTAACTTGCTCATAAAAAAGCCTCCTCATGTCTCCCTCTTATGATACCTTCCCTCATTAAAGAAGTTTTTAGTAGTTGGTCCCTTGTAATTTTCCAACAGACGTAAAAATCAAATGGACAATGGAACTTCAGATTGCCTATTAAATAGGGACACATGGCAAAGAAGACACATGGTGGTTAAATCCAAGCAGCAGCTGTAAGTCTTCTTTTGAGCTATTTCCTGTATTTGAGACTTACCTCAGATTCTGAAAGGTTTATGGGAATATTCGAGATGCCAGAAATCCATTAACAGTATGAAATTATTACCTTTTTGGATTTTACTGCACATCATGACCATCTTTCAGAATCAAGCGCTTGAAATAAGCACAATTAAAATTTTAATCAGTCGACTCTACTTGAGAAAAGGGCAAGGGCCATTTTTCATGGCAGCAGTGATGGTAATATTAAGCGATGATGATGATATACGCCATCATCAGAACAAAAACAATGATGAAACCTAGGAGAAGGAAAATACCAGCTGTTCTCTGTTGAGCCTGCTTCTCTGTGGACCACCAGGCATTTCATACTTTTCCTCTAGTTCACACATTCTGCTTTCTAGACAGGCTTTTACCCCTGGAAAGAGAAGAGAAGGATTAAAAAAGTAACAAGCATATCAGCTGTGCAGCATGCCTTTACCACAGATGTTTGACAGAAATCACATAACTGTCTGGAGGAGTTAATATATTTATTCTTTATAGCAATATTATTACTTTGTTGCCACACTAGAAATGGAAATCTTATGTATTTAAAAAGCCAATCTGAGAGAGGAACAATTTTCTTGGCTTGAATTTCTTCTCAAAAGCAGTAAAACAAACACTGAAATTGGGTCTCTCATCTGAAGAATTTAAGCCACAATATTCTTTTAAGTGGAACACACACACACATATACATGGACACATACACAAAGAACGATAAAACATGGTAACTTTAGAGTGATCAACCTACCCTTCTAGTCTTTTTTCTTTTTTCTCCTTTTTCCCCCCCTAGGCAAAGGAGTTAAGTGACTTGCCGGGGGTCACACAGCTAATAAGTGTCAAGTGTCTGAGACAGTTTGAACTCAGGTCCTCCTGACTCCGGGACCAGTATTCTACCCACTGAGCCATCTAGTTGCCCCATTCTAGTCTTTTTTCTTATGTAACCCCCTTTCACACCTTTTCTGGCTCCTTGTGGCTTCACTACTGCCTTAAAACATGCCAAACATGCCATCCTTAGAAAACCTTCACTAGATCCTCCCCTCCCCTCAAAATAATGTGCTATATCTCTCATTCCTTTCCTCAAACTCCTAGAAGAAAAAAAAAAGAATGAATGAAATTTACACTCACTCTTTCTACCTCTTCTCCTCTCATTCACATCTCAGCCCTTTATAATCTAGCTTTCAACCTCATCACAAAACTCAAACTGCCCCCTCCAAAGTTACCACTGATCTCTTAGTTGCTAAATCTGATGGTCAAATTAAATCAATAAGTATTTATTATTGGTGCAGGGTTTGTGCCAAGCCCTTAGGATACAACGAAAGGCACTGCTTGCTTCCAAGGAGTTTAAAGTCTAATGGGAGAGACAACATGCAAACAACTTTGACGGTTCTTCTGTCTTCATCCTTAACCTATCTGCCGCATTAAACACTGCTGACAAGCCCTCTCCTCCTGGGTACTCTTATCCTTTCCTGGGTTTTTATGACAATACTCTCTTGGTTCTCTGACTAATGTCTGACTGCTCCTTCTCAGTTCATATCCCCTAATCATGGGTAATCTCCAAGGCTCTGATATAAACTGGCCTTTTCTCTGCTCTTCACACACAATAATCCATTTCTCATCCATGAGCTTTTATAATTACCCTTCTCTTATCTTCCCTCACGTAAGAACGTAAGTTCCTCAAGAGTAGAGATTGCTCCACTGATTCTACTTGTATCCCCAGTTCCTAACACAGGTAGGTATTTTAAATTATGTGTGCACACACACACACACATATATATCAGGTACTGGCACATAGTAGGCATTTAAAAAATATATATATATATATATATATATAGTGTATATATATATATATAGACAGATACATAGTGTGTTTGTGTGTCTATATATATGTGTGTGTCTCTACACACACACACACACACACACACACACACACACACACACACACACACACACACCTTGACTTATTCCAAATAGCCGGATAACTAACGATTCTCCATATACAACATTTTACCTCCCACCCTTTGAGGCTTTGTAAAGTAAATTTTCCATGTCTGTAATTCACTCTCTCACTGCCACCTCACAGAATCCCTGGCTTCCTTACCACATCTTTCTCTACCCCTAGCGACTGACTTTGGATTCACAACGGTGGTAGGCACAGTTTCACACAGAATAAGAATAGGAAATGGAAACGGACCTGTGATTTCAGCATTTCTACCAATATAGGTCAGTACCATCGCTTCAACTTATAATCTTAGAGAACCGCCTAGACTCAGAGCAATGGGAGGTTAGATGACTTGCCCAGGGTCACACAGCCAACATGTATTAAAGACCAGATTTGAACCCAGGTCTTCCTGATTCTGAAGATGGCTCCCCATGGACTATACCACGCTGTCTTCTAGGTCTTGTACACAATAGGCAATTAATGTTTGAGTTGAGTAGAACCAACATTCGAAAGAGTAGGAAAAATACACACATCAACCATGAAATATTCTCCAAACTACTTTGATTCACATTATTCTCTTTGCCTTCCCTGAATACTCTGAACTCTTAAGAGTCAATAATATTCATCACGGCAGTAAATCACATATTCTCCTAATGTTGCCTACTGCAAACCTGTGTTAAGTCTCATCTCTCTGATGAGAAGTGGGAAGCTACTTGAAGGGTAGAATGGCATCTTTAATTTTCTTGTGTAGCCAGTGTGGAATAGTTGCTCGACAAATACTTATTCGATAGAACTAAACAAGGCTTGAGAAACCCTTTGGCCATTTGAGGAAAATGCTTGGGACACTGTAAAGCTCTCTCCAGATGTGAGCTAGTATTAATTTAGCACAGAGAAAAGACACCTGAAGGGAGAGCAGCAGAAACAACAGAGTTGTCTGAATCTTTGAAAGGATGCCCTTAGAAGTAGGGGGAGACTTATTCTGCTTGCCCCCCCCCTTCCCCAAGGGAGTGGGCACAAAATTGGGAGCAGTGAATGGAACTAATGATAGGAACTATTCCAAAGAGGCCTAGCCTGCTTTGGGGGTCTTCCAAATGGTCTTGAACCACCTCCCCCACCCCTTTAAGCTTGTTGCGTATGTTGTAATCAGTCAACAAGACAACAAATTCTTTATTTATTAGGTGTTTACTTGTACGCTCAACACTGCTCTAAGCACTGGGCAGAAAGATGTTCAAAAAACATTTCCTGCCCTCAGGAAGCATATATTCTAATCGAGGTGACTGGTTTTTATTTTATGTGCAGGTTGGACTAGATAGCCACAGAGGTCCCTTGTCACTACAAAATTCAATGACTGTGCAATGTGAACTCTAATTTGCCAAACAAAATAAAATTCCTTCTCAAAAGGTTTAAAAAAGAAACAAACAAACTCACAAGTTAATCATGTTTTCCTATTGGCTTGGATGCATACTCCTATTTACCAGCTCAGAAGCAGGGGATGGAGAGAACCCAGCCTTGTCATTATTAGCAACGCTCCAAGATCTGGCACCAGGCAGGGGGTTTTCCTTGCTTGCATGCTATTTGCCGGCAGCTAGCACCGACCCAGGTCTGGCAGAGCCCTGTGGCTGAAATGTGGCACTCCAAGCGTTGGAACAAGTGGTGTCAGATTTCAAATGCAGCTCTGCCTGTCTGCCACCACCCACCAAGAAGAGTTGTGGGTATGCACATGGCAGCACTTGTCTCTGCTTCTGGGGGTATACTCTGGGGCCAAACTGGACAGCTTGTGGTCAATCACCAGTACTGGGGAAAGAGCTGAGGAGAGGGAGATGGAACGCATCACCTACTACCAACCTTTTTCTCATCAGATCAGAGACAAGTTTTGGAGCACACTTCTTAAAGAATGCAATTTGTGATATCATAGACTACTGGAAATGGAACACACCAAAGATCAATTAGTCCAATACTCTAAATGTGAGATATGAAGAAACTGAGGCTTCAACAGTTCTATGATATGGCCAATGTCCCACTGATACAGGTAAAACAGGACTAGAACTCAGCTGTTCTAGCTTCTGAAGTAGCAAGTAGCACAGTATCTGGTATATATTAAGCACTTAACAAATGCTCACTTAACAAGTGATTGATTAAAAGGAATCAAGAAAACAGAAGATGACCTGACATTTACCTGTTTTTTAAAACACCAATTTAAATACTTGCTTTAATACTTAGAATAGATTTAAATATTTGCTTTAAATATTTAGATTTACATACATATACCTAAAATCTGATCAAATAATTATACAGATGCTTATGATAGTAAAGTTATGGTATGGATTTTTTTTATTTTAATCTATTTTTAGAATCAAAACATAAATTATGAATCTAGAAAGTTACAAAGTTCACATTTGATTTACAATGACATTAAATTTAATCAAAATGAAACTCATGGCTGCAGATACAAACTTTTTTTTGGTAGAGAACTGGAATTACATACTGGCTATCAACTGTTTTACAGTATGGAGAGAAATCCTTGGCTCTATGTTTATTTGACTGAAAATGACCTGTAGTGGAAAATGCCAGTGTTGAAGAGGTCTATGAAACTGAATCTTAACTTAGCCTAAATCTGGCCACACTCAAAACCCTTCAGGAATTCCTGCTACCTCAGAAATACCTCAACAAAGATAAGCCAAGTTCTAAGAAATAATTTAAGTCTTTGTCATCTGTGCTGGCAAGATGAGACGGTCATCTGCGAATCTGGCAAGGCTTTGCCTCGTGAACCAGCTGTGGAGAATTATTAGTCCAAGGCACTGCAGCAATCACTAAGCTGCTCACTAGGGAGAAGGGACCATCCAGATGGTGGATTACAGGCTGCCTGACCCATGATGAGAAGGAAGCCCCACTGGCAAAGAAACAGAACGTTTCCTCCCCCAAAAAAGTGCTTTTAGAATCAAATAAATGTCACAACCAGGATTCAATCTACTGTGAATTGAGTACAGGCTACACACAGATAGTTCACGGCAAAGAAAAAAAAAGGGCAGGTTTCAGGATTCCATGTCACTGATATAGGATAAGAAAAAAAAAGTTTTGTCAATTTGCATAAAGAGCTTTGGAGGAAAAACTAAGCCAGACTCAAGATCCTAAATGCAAGTATTGCTCCAGCTCCTATTTCTCCACGATTATTAGCTATACCTATAAAGATGATCTCTGACATCTCTGGGTCCAAAATGCTATAACTTTGCCACTCTCTAATTTACTCCCAGTTTACAGATGAGAAGACTGAAGCCCAGAGAGGGCAAATAACTCAGAGACTAATAATGATGAAGATAATGATAATAAACAAGTTATCAATGATGATGACAAACATAGCATTTACATAGTACTTAAAGATTTGCAAAAGTACTTTATATGTTATCTCACTTGACCTTCACAACCATGGCAGACTGGGG